CGTTAGGAACCAAAACTTCCAGAACACGGCCACACAGCCCGGAAGACCCACATCAGCCAAGAAATAGGTATTCTCCATCCCAAAATGATAGAGCTGTTGTGGTGAAAATAAATCTAACAAACAAAATGGAGACTGCACCCTTTTCCCTCCTGTCTTTTGTATATGACCAGGGTCAAACCCAGTTCATCTCTTTGCCTAATCCCATCAGACTCTCCCTGCCCCAGACAAAGCCCACCTGAAATCCCATCAAACAGAACCGAAGTTGCCTCCCCAGCTCACAGTACAGCCCAAGGGCTGTAGAAAAACCCCAACCTTCCATCCTCCATCAGCCAATGACCTCAACATTCCATCTCCTTTAACAATGCACTTCTTCAGCTCTGCTGCCTCCTGAAAGGCCCATTTTGCCTAACAATAGAATTAATCCCAGGTATACTGACAAGAACCCAAACTGCTCCACGAAACTGGCCAGCAAATCATATCCCTAGGATTTCCCGCCTTGTAGCTCTCAACTTTTATAAAATGTTTGCTTTTTCATTGTTTGAGGTCCAACTTTCTTATAAAGCAGGCACCCAAAATTGTTGCAATAAACATGGTTCTTCTTAGTGTAGTGCTCCTTCAGATCAAATCCACAACACAGCAAGACTTAAGAGTCATGCCAGTCTGAGGATCACTTTAGAAAAAAACGTGATTAAGGAAGAAATGTAATAGGGATTAGTAACACATTGCATGGGTAAAGAGATTTGAAATACCATTTTATCCAATTAGAACCTAGGATCCCGAACAAGGATGAATGGAGGGAGATTTAGGATAGACTAAAAGAAGCATTTCTTCACCAACACATAGCTGAATTGTAGAATATGTTATTCCAGAATGCAATGATAATCATGCAGCTGAACAGTTAAGACTAATGTTTAGAAGTAAGGCAATCAATGGCTACTAGTTATGATGGCTAATATTACTTTCAGTAGAGTAGGAAATACTGCTCTCAATTATCAGTCACTGAAGAACAGCAGCAAGAAAGAGTTGCTCCCTCATTTACAACTTGCAGACTTCCCACAGGCATCTAATTGGCCATTATGTAAAGCAGGAGGCAGGTGGAGAGAGAACCCTGGACTGATCGAATAGGTCTGTCACATTAAGCCACAGCTGCAACATAATCTAGTTCAGGCTAAACAAAACTTTCCTCCACTCACTCATTACATTGGTTCGGTATCAACCTTTAACTACCCAATGATTAACAACTTAAGTAACTGGTGTTAAGTAGAGGACTTCCCTTCAGCAGCTCTAGCTTTCATTACCCCTAGAAGCGGATACAACAAAGTTTTTAAAAGCCAACACAAGGAATAATCTTTTTCAAAATGAACGCAATACAGATGGATTCTGACAGTCCAAATATCACCCCCCACTCTGCTCCCTGGTTTTGAGATCAAATCAGCTCATAAGTAGCCCAATTTGTGGCAAGGTTTAGGTATCAAATAGGCATGTACTTTATATGTACTAAGTGAGCCAGAATGAAACGGAAGGCCAAATACTATTTCATGGGATATACAAGAATAAAATGAAAAACATGTAACACAAGCTGTTCTCACTCAGAGACCACAAGCTTAATCCAGAACATACTTCATGCCAAACACAACTGCTAATTCCGGTGCCACCCACTGCTCAGTACAACTAGACCAATACATCTGGTACTGTACAGCCAACTCCCAACAAAGTCGCTATTTACCAATAACGAACAAGCCTCTGTGCTATGTATCAATTCTGAATGTACAAAGTACTTTGCTATCCTTATCTATTTATACCCATAACAACCTTAGAATCATTTACACTCATTTTACAAATCTGGAACCAATGCCAAGATATGAAAAGTTGTTTGAAAAAGGCCCACTGAGAGCACAACCAAACTGGATTCTGTACCCAGGCCCCTCTAAGACCTCAGAATCCCATATCTCATGACTGAACTTCATGCCAGAATACAAAGATGACTCCCCTGTTCTACACACTGTGCATGTGGTGTTCAGAGGATAAAGAGGACACAAAATAGCCAGCTGGAAGGAAGTACCAATTTTTGGAAAATACACCATGTGTGCAAACCCAAGAGAAACAGAATCACTAGGAGGAAGAGTTGCTGTTCCAACACTTACCAATACATTGATATTCTCCTTCTGACTCAGTAATGACCGCACCTCCTCTATATCACGGTTAAAAATGGCTTGGACCAGAGGAGGCTATAAAAGATAGAAAAAAGTAAGACAGATTAAATTAAGTAAGGTGAAGAAAAAATATCAACAATTAATAGCAGAAATCCACAAATCTGAACAAAGAATTAAAAAAAAAAAACCATTGTATCCTAGGTCCTTAGGCAGAATTGGTGATGTGACTGAGTCCTCAGCTTTCTGAAACAGGGAGCACATTTGGACTTTTGAGATCATGTCATGGCTGCTCACACAAAATAACTGACATGCTGGATATACTCAGTCACAAACACCCAACTACAAGAAAGCAAATCTGCTAGTTTTTCCTGCTCACTCTGGTTTAGTGCAGTGTATGATCCTTAAGTCACAGTATAACCTATACCACCACTTGATGAAAAGGGTATGGTAAACTAAATGTCCATGGCTGGCGTATGCACAAGTTCCCTTAAGATGAAAGCAGAAGAAGAAAAAACTACTCTGAACCTTCTGGCCATTTTTGCATTACAGATCAAGAGTTCACAATTTTTGGCAATCCATTATTTATGGATTCTTACTCTTTTACTCTTACTCTATTCTTCCATGTATTCTTATTCTTTCCTAGTATCCTGCATGTAAAGAGTACAGAAGGAAGAATAAATGAATTGGGCTTTGGAACATGCAAACACAACACAAAACTGATTTTAGTGTAATAAAAGGCCTCTACCCTCTCTTCATGCCAAAAGATTAGAAAAGATGAAATGCAAGTTGTACGTCATGCTGATCTTGAAGCAGACAGAAATTTCAGCATAGAGTTTCCTGAATTCTGTGCAACTTGCCAAGACCATGGGGTGTAAGGTAGGATTTATATCTATTGATCTGCATCATCAAGATCTGTAATGGTATGTGGGATTGACCTTGGGAGACAGGAGGGAGAGCCACAAACTGGACAACCAGCATGTAAAAGATGTCTCAGACCACAGAAGGGGGGATGGCATGGGAAATGTTTCAGAAGGGACCTTCCCTAGTTTTCTGGAGAACAAAAGGAAAGGAGGGGAAAAATACTTTCAGTCTTGCAAGATTCTGTTAATGTAACCTTACAATGAAGACAGAGCTAGTACTCCTGATTGTGCTTCTTGTCTGGACTACCTCACTGGGCTAACAAGATCAAAATTACCTGGCCTCTTATCCCACCTGTTTATGAACCAGAAAGTCAAAAGGTTCAGTCAAGTTGTTAGTAAACATCTTTTCGTTAATATGGAGGATTTCTTCCTTACTTCTTGCTATCAATTCCATGAGGCATGAACCTGTAAATCAGCTGGTTTCTTAAGTATGCTATAATTTAAGATATATTTTTTATGGACTGTAACCTATCATGAAATCCTCTGGATAGTGAGCAGGTTATAAATATTTTAAATAATTACATAAAACTATGTCATGGTTTCTAAACCACCATGGTGAAGTTTACACAACACATTAAATAAAAACCAAGCAAATATTATAACATAATATACAAACCCAACCCCAATCTTTTAGTCTCTCTTTTGCCATCACAGAGAAGTTAAATCTTTTAAGTGTCCCACAATAGTTGCTAAAAGTCAACAAGCCTCTATCAGAGGATGATATTCAGTTTGGGAAATCCTGCCATAGTTCTGACAGCTGGGACTCCACAGGCAAGAAGCTGATCCATTCATGACCTGCCAGGGAAAGATAAGAATTTGCCTCCAGTAACCTGATATTTGAGGGCCTGTACAAAATGGCTTTGAAAAGCAGAATAGGAAACCTCACAGTTCATCTTCAGGACAGGTCTGTGCTATTTCCCTCAAGCTTTCTGTAATACCTCTGATACAAAAAGTAGTGAGGATTCATCACAGTTTCAGCTCCTATCCTCTTGCACCTGCTTCCTTCACTTTTGCAGCCTCCTTCCAGGAATATAAATATTTATGTTGGCAGAGAACACAAAGTCTTCCATTCTATGCAGCAGCTCACACTCAACATCTATGCACACTGTAGGCTACCTGGCCTGAACAAATGCAGTAGAATAATTGGAGGTTTATGTCCACAATTAAATCTCCCATACGGCTGCTGGTTTTTCTCCATGATAGGCATAAGACAGCACGCAGCTTTTCTTCCTTGGGACAAACTAATGATGCCCAACCTTCTTCTGATTGACTGCACTTGGTTTGGGAAATGCAAATAAGTTATACACCAAGTGGAAGAGATCTGGACAAAACCTCAATTTGATTTTATAATTTTAAAGGGATGGGAGAATTATTAAATAAATAAGGAATTTTTTTTTTTAATTGCACTCAGTCATTACTGACTCTGCAGTGACTGCTTGGACGAGTCCTTGCAGTTTTCAAGGCAAGTGTTTCGGAAGTGGTTTGCCAAATTTTTTTTTTTAATTGCACTCAGTCATTACTGACTCTGCAGTGACTGCTTGGACGAGTCCTTGCAGTTTTCAAGGCAAGTGTTTCGGAAGTGGTTTGCCACTGCCTCCTTCCTAGAGCAGAGCCCAGCTGGCGTGCGCAGGAGGCGGGGTTTCCGTTGTTTCGTGCCCTTTTTTTGGGCGAGGGCGGTTTCGCGTTTTACCGGCAACTGCTCCCGACTCCTTTTTTCCCAGGCGCCGCCAGCATTTTTCCTCCCCCCGGAGTGGGAGGACCCATTTTTCTACTCC